CGTCTGTCTGTCTGTCTGTCTGTCTGTCTGTCTGTCTGCCTGTCTGTCTGTCTGCCTGTCTGTCTGTCTGTCTCCTTCCAAACACAAACAACAACAACATTCACAGCAACAACGAACACAAACAACAGAAGACAACAGCGCACTGTCTGCGTTAGAAAAGGGCCCCTCCACTTCATCTGCCAGTCTCCTTGCCTTACCCCTCTGAAACGGTACTTGACAATTGTCACTTCAAATTGCTTCTCTCTTCCAACTTTAAAAAATACTCCCAGACCTCTAAACGCTGAGCTGAGCTTCCTATTATGTAAAATGCAGTGTGGTTTTTAAAAAAAAGAAAGAACCGATTTCATTTAGCAACATTTCAATAAGTAAAAAAGCTAAGTCACAAGTAATGCACTCACAATCAACTTTTATTTCCTGCCTTCCGATTGTTCAATGTGACTACTAGCAGCAGCACAGGCAATATCAATGCGATAGGAGATTTCATCTGGTACTGATAGGAGATTTCATCCCAGACGCGTTTCAGTATAACTCCTCTTTCAAATGATCAAATAAGGATACTTGAGAACTGAAGCAATGAGATTATAAAATCGGTCCATTCTTTTTATATTCAAAGTTTAGATAACAGCTCTTTCAAATGTTCACTAATTCATTCCATAACGATGCTCGAGAATTGAAGCAATGCGTCATAAAAATCGGTTCATTCTTTTTTAATCATCCTGTAGTATTGGAGTTATGTAAGTTTACCCACCACAACAAGCACGATCTTGATGGTATAACAGCCGCCAATACAGCCCAGTAGCGAAAGAGCTCCCATGAGGACACCTAAGGCGATGATAGCATAGGCCAGGGGGAGCATGAAGTCGCTGAAAGACAGGTTACTTGTGTCCACCGTCACACCTGAGAGGAAATGTTTAGTGAGAGGGATTATTATTGTCTGTGTAATGGCTCTCTCGCTCTCTCCTCCTCCAACTCTTTTTTCGTTACTCCCCCTCTTCTTCTTTCCCCTCCTCCTTCCTGTCCTCCTCCTTCTGCTCCTCATCTCCCTCCTCCTCCTGTTGCTGCTTTTGCTGTCGCTCTTCCTCTCCTTCCTCCTCCCTCTCCTCCTCCTCCTCCTCCTCCTCCTCCTCCTCC